TTTTTTTTTTTTTTTGATTTCAGCAACGACTATTGTTGCATCAAATGCTAGCGAATGTGCCTTGCAGTTGCGCTTCGGATAAGGTGTCTATCTGTTCAAAAGCATATTGCGCCAACTAAACTTCATAGTTATCATTGTTCACATAGTTATCATGGCAGTTCACGTGTTCTAAAATTGGCAAATCACACAGTCTTTCCTTTTCCTTTCCCCCTCCCCACTCCCCATTCCTTTCCGCCCCCTCTCCAATACTTATCTCCTTTTTCTCTTGAAATATAGTGTAGTTAAATTCGTTCCGGAAAAATGGCGAAGTCGATTAAATGAAATAAACTAATAGAATTTTTTTAAAATTAAAATTGGAAAGAAGGGAAAAAGAAATAGAGTAATGTAAAAGAGAAGACAGAAAAATTTTGGAGAAACTGGAAAGAAATTATTCTGTCCATGAAGTCAGATACATTTTTTACCAGAGTTATAATCGCACCTTTGTTTTAAAACGCAAATCTGACCAGAGAGTTTAAAACTTAGCAAAAAAAGAGCAAAATCCGGCCGAGGACTTGGTAAGGAAATGAAACAAAAAATAAAGGTGGGGCGCACAGCGCTAAAAATAGAAGGCGCCAAAATGTGTTTTTTGACGGAGTTGTTACATGTGTTTCTGAAAAGACTATGGAATAAATAGAGAGTGTAATACTAAGAATACCCTTGTATGTTATCTTTACTGGTATGCTTTTAAGTTCCTGATGCAGTTGTGCCAGACCCTTCGATCTCGGACTCCGTTCCTCCATCTTAGCACCTAGTGAATTTAACAGCAATTAAAAAGTACCTTATATGGTTGCTCGCCGGTGTGCGTTCGAAGGTGCCGTGTTAGATTCGCGCTTCGTGGAAAAACTTTTGCGCAAAATTTGCATGTGTAACGATCACGCGAAGTCTTGGAAAGTAGCGGAGTGGGTGAGTTTGGAGCTGGAGATGAATGTGCATAGGGATTCAGGTGGCTGGCTGTTGCGGGAGGAATGATCGGGTAAGTGAAGGGACGGCGAAACATCTGCATGAAAGCAGTGGGAGAAAAAGGATTTACGGTCGGAGTTAGGTCGAGCTTCTCGAAATTAGAAGAACGCAGGGGTAATTCTTCGCTCGGAGTACCACTCGATGCAATTACATTCTCCTGATCCGCTCCGGGGCATTTTTTCTGGCACTCTGAGTTTGAAATCACCTCGTCATTCTCAGTTTCAGGATTTCTTTCCTCCTTTACATCAGCAGACTGATCCGCAACCACAATCTCTTCATCTTTTGGAGATGTTGATGTTCCTGTTGTAGACGCTTTCATGGACAGATCCAAGGGGCAAAGTTCCAGCTCACCAAATAAGCCATCATTTGAGCCGCTTGGACTGGATTTCTGATCGACCGGTGATGGATCCAAAGGGTGCTCACTGAAACTCAACGCATCGTTTAATTATCATGCGCTGTCCCAGTCATTTTTGCGGTGGGCACAGCTTTTTTGAAGAGAAGGAAAGCAAACATAGCTCTGGCGAACTCTGGATGAACTGAACAGTAAAGTAGGAGCACTGAATCTCGGTTGCATGCCAAAGCGATGAGGAAAAGTGTGTTGAGAATGCAACTGTAATTACTGGTGGCAAAAGTAGAGAATTCAACTACGACGCGAAAGTGAGCAGGGTTGGGTTAGGGCCATTAACATGAGACCCTAAAAAGATAGCGCACATACTAGGAGACGCCAATTTGATTCATCTAGAGAATATGCACGCTTCTCTGCTCAACCAAGCATTTTCGTTCGACTGGGCGTATTTTCATTGAACTTAAGTATCTATAAGCAGATAAAAGTGAATAAAAACAAATAAAACAGATCAATTTGATGAAAATGCATTTTGTTTTTATTTGATGATCGAAATGACCAGACCTGCTTCCAGGAGAGCTTTCGCTGTCTGATCTGTTGGCGCGGTACTCGTTCTTCCTTGGCAATGCGGCATTCGTATCAGCTGGGCCAGATTCCGAGTGTTGTTGCTGCGGTGGTGGTGGCGGAGGTTGCTGCTGGGTGGATGCGATTTGCAGCAATCGAGACCAATAATGCGGTGGTACCGTGAGCAGCGGAGGTTGCGCCGCTGCAAAAAATTCCGCATATGGGAAAAGAGCAGTTACTGATAATTATCAGCAACTTAACAACAAAAAAACTTTCATTTAAAACATGGTATTTAGATTTCAGCGGGTTTTTGCACCGCATAAAACTATCAAAATAAGAGAATTCCAGGGAATCTGTAACAGTTAGTACTGCGTAATAATACAGCTTGATCAGAATTGAGGGACAACTCAAGGTGTGACTGCGGTAAACGGTGGAGGATGTTATAAATTATGCACCCTAGATATGGGGGAAGTAACATCTACTTTATTATTATTATTGTTATTATCATTATTGCTGTTATTATTATTGTTATTGTTATTGTTATTATTATTATTGTTATTATTATTATTGTTATTATTATTATGTATTATTACCTATATCCAAATTGCAAAAACGCATATGTGTATGTTTGTGTATGTGTGTTCGTCTGTCCGGGTATTTCAACTCGGCAGCCAAGCAAGTTCCAGCGCCAAGATTTTATTAGTGTGTTCCCGCCCAGATGCCAACCCACAACCGCGCACCAACCCTCACACAAGTCTGAGCCCCGCGTACGAGGGGGTGAAAGTTTTGGCGGGAAAATTGGTGATTCGGGAACGAGAAAGATAGAGAGTTGAAATTTTGAGGTTATGTTCCCCGACCACATACATCTCAAAGACTTCAAATCCAACCCCTAAGCGTGCGCGATTCTCACGTACAGACCCCGTGAAACTTTTTTGGCGAAAAAATGGCTAACATGAGAACCAGGAAAGCTAAAAGGCTGAAGTTTTTAAGAAATGTTCTCAGCCCATGTACGACTTAAAGTTATCAAATTCAGCCCCCAGTCGTACGTGGCTTTCACGTACAGCCCTGTGAGATTTTTCGGCGGGGAAATGGCTAAGTCGGGAACTAGCAAAGCTGGGAAGCTGAAATTTTCAGGGGACGTTCTCAGCTCATTTATGAGTTACCAAATTCACGGTTCTCATGTACGGTCTCATGAAACTTTTTCGGCGGGAAATTGTTAAATTGTTAAACCGCTAAACAGAAATTGTTTATTTCCTTTTATGCAAAATTTACGATGATTTACGGTATTGTGTGCACAAGGTAGGTGTGAAGAAACAACCGTTCATGCAGTTAACCTAATTACTTCAAGTTTGTTGCAAAAACGCATGATCGCACCAGCTCGCCTGGTGCGTTTCAGCCTGAGTTTCTTATTGAATAGCATTTATAATTCTGTTCAAACCCTCTGACATTCCGCTTTCCCACTGCAGAAAGATGTAGTTGCAGTTCACAGATCTTTTTTTTTATCATCTTCCTGATCGAATTTGATAAAACAAGACAGTACAAAGCGCATATTTCCGATATAATATTTACCCCGAGGAGACAGCACACATTTATGACCTGTAATATTTACTCCGAGGAATCGAAGCACGCGTACCTACTCCGAGTGTACGAAAAACACTACCCCTTCGGAATTCCCACATCGATGCAGACGACCTTGGTACTCTTTCTTTTCCTTTTTCTACTATTGTTTCACCTTATAACGATAATGATGATAATAATAATCACTGTTATTGCTGTTGCAGTCATAATTGCAATTTTAAATACTATTTTCATTGTTATCATCATTTTGTTATTTGCAATTATTATAACTATTACTATTGTTATTATTATGGTCTCTTTTTATTATTATTGGTCCCTTCATTTTACTTTTTCATTTTTATCAAAACATTTGCTAACTTTTGCAACACTATAACCAGTTCTTGGTATTTTTATACAATGCAAAAATTATGAAATGAAATGGAATTTTACGCGAATGAAGAATTTGCATGCGGTGGGCAAAGACATTCACAGCTTCCGCACGAAATCGACACACACTGTACTTAAAAATTACATTTACAATCTTTAAAATCTGAATTCACGCTCCTTTAAAAAAAAAAAAGCGAACATCCCTTAAAGGTTACGCCACTGATCTGCACTTTTATGTTCTGTTTTCCAGAATTTTCACCTCCCAAAATCAAGCACATTCAGCCGAAAGGCGAATGATGCTTGTGCCAAGGGAAGAGGAGAAAGGAGAGAGCAAGAGTGGATGGAAACGAAAGAGAAATTAATGACGGAGCAGAAGATTACATTATACTTGTCCCGGATAGTATAAGAATAGGCGGAGAGTGGATCTGGGGCATAGCAGTTGTTAAGGTTTTCAGGAACTTCTTTTTCCGGTTATTCGTACTTATTATTGTACGGGCAAGAACTCATCTGCCTCACTCATTTGGGTGTTGCTTACGCAAAACCTGCATCCGAGTGCTGGTGGACGAGTGACATTGCCAGCTGGCTAGCTGAAAAACAATGCGAAATCATTAAAGAAGCTAATCTGAGAAATCAATAGTCCTTTTTCAAACCGATCATAAACAACTGCAATCGCATTGACATAAGTTGTTACCTGGACAAATCGGTGGGGGTATTTGAAAACTTGAGAAAAATACATGTTGATGGCAGAAGTGTTTTCGAGCTATGGTCAACCCAAATAACAACGCGCACCAGAGTTTCAAGTGTGATCTTGCATTTTTGTGCTAAGCTTGAAGCAATCAGGTCGTTAACAGTATGAACAGTTATTGCTTCATAGTTTAACATCTACATTCATGTTGCCCGTGTTCCAGTTTTTATGCGTTTTTGCATATATGTAAATTGCAAAAACGCTATTGGGAAGAGGCTGTGTGTGTGTGTGTGTCTGTGTGTTCGCACTTTTTGTCACCCACTTTCAAC